TAAAGGTGCAAATTTCCAATGATGAATGTCATTATATTGTATACCTAAAATGTACCAATAAAATAAAATTTTTTTTAAAAAAGGTAAAATACCATAAAAAGGATGTGTGGGTTAGTGGATACCTTAACCTGGTAAAAATTTACATTATTCAACTTTAGTTATGTCTTTACAGTCTTCTTTAGGGCTGTGGCTTTTGTTTCCTCTTTAGTTGCAGAAAATATAGAACTCCATTACAGTCAAATGACGACTAATAGAAAGTTATAAAAACACAGTTTTACATCTTTTTGTTAACTTTTGTAACATATCTCTTTCAGATTTTATGTATGTAGTTACTGGCCTAGAATCTAGATGGATTTGAGTACAGTAAGAAGCTTTAGTTATAGATATTTCATAAACCACTTAAGTTAGATCTTGGTATAAAATGACCTTTTAAAAAATTTTTAAAATATTAAAATACTTGTTAGTATCTTGCAAGCAATTTGAAAAATGATCATGTTTAATTTTTCTTTGACTTTTTTTACTTTAGTTGTGGAGATGTGAAAGGAAGGAGACAAGAGTGGTTTCTTGCTTAGAAACCTTCAATTAATACTTAAGATCTTATTTCCATGTAACAAAAAACAGTAATACAGTACGTTTAGGGCTAAAAAACAGTTACTTTCAAAGTAAAGGATTCTCTCTCAGCACATTTTTTGATCTATTTACTGCTACTCATAACTTATTGAACATGTGCTTCAATGTTTGGACCAAGAAAAATAACAGCATATTTTGACTCAGATGAATTATGTACTTCTTATTTTTAATATTATGATACCTGGTGTCACTGGCCAGCGCTTAGATTGGAAAATCTAAAACTAAGGTGAGACAGTTGGCCAAAGTGAAAATTTCTCTTTCATCCCTCTCTATACTTAATATTATCGCCTTAATTTGAGATTACATAGCTACTCATTTATATATATCTTTTCTCTAGGTCCCATTATTGAATTATTTCAATATAAGATACTTATACCAAATTAACATTAATAAATGATATCCAAACCAATTAGCTTGAACTGCTTTCAGTAGAATTCTAGGGTTTACTCATGGGAGATTCCTAGGCAGTTAAGATTACTTAGTGCTTCTTAGACTACGGAATACTGATTTTTCTAGAGAGGTTGTTAGACATAGGTCTCTGGGACTCATCCTCAGAGATTCTGGCTTACTACACCTGGGACAGTGCCAAAACTTTTCTTGGTTATAATCTCAGGTAGTGCTGTCAGTCCAAATACTCTGAGTCATATTGACCTTCGTGATGTTTATGGCAGTGTGCAGACCTTAGAAAATAAAAGGTTAATTCTTTGGCTTGATGTTTTTTCTTAAATGCTTAATGGTCCTACAAACCATCATTATGATCTAAAGTACAAATTATACTTTATTACATTATCCATAACCTAACATATTAGGATTTAGTCAGTTAAAAAATATTCTGCATATTGTACTATAGTCATGGATATTTTTGCTATTTTATGTAGTAATGAGCTATAATTACATTTTACTTATAAAATAGCTTAAATTTTAATAAAAATTTTCCTTGAAAAATGAATCTCAAATTGTGCTAGAGCTATGCTTTTTGTCTTCTTTCTCTCTTTTCTTATTTACAGGCAGTACTTAATTTTCCTAAATATTGTGAACCTGTCATTAAAGGAGAAGGTAACTATGAAACTTTACTTATTAATATTTTTTTTGAGAAAAATAGGAAGTAGGGTGATCTTAAATGGGAAGGACATCAAGAGATGCGGGGGTGGAGAGAGGGAAAGGGGATGAAACAAAGAATGAAGATGTGTTATGTATGTGTACCAACTCCACACAAGGAATGTAGACATGTACTATTAATAATAAGCAAGATCTAAATTATTGAAATTTTCTCCTATTGGATAGCAAGTGAACGTGACACTCGCAAACTGTGGAAAAATATTGAACCTCATTTGAAGAAAGCTATGCAGACCGTTTACCTCAGGGAAATATCAAGGTAATTCATCTCTTTAGTTTCTGTACTACAGGTTGATTAACCCTTATTGAAAATTCTTGGGAACAGAAGTATTTCAGGTTTGGGATGGTTTTCAGATTTTGAAATATTTGCATAGACTTTACTGATGCTTGTTCCTAATCCAAAAATCTGAAATCTGAAATATTCCCAAATCTGAAACCGTTTAAGTATCATATCAGACCTTAAAAAATTAGAGTTTTGGAATATTTCAGAATGTGACATAAAAGACAAAAAAATGGCACTCTAACGCTGGCCTCTTGCTCCATTTGGAAGTGTTTGAATTGCTCCAAGATAAACAACTCATCCATTTTCCCTGTTGCCAACCCCTATTTACCCATATGTAATAAAATTTACTAAATTAAAAAAATAATCTCACATATTTCATATTTTCTAGTTGTTATTAAACAAGTGGAATGAGCAGAATAAATAAAAAGAAAAAGTCAAAGGACACTAGGTCCTGACCTAGCAAGCTATTGTTGGGAATATATGTTTGTTCCATAGTTTTTATAAGCAGGTGGGACAGACCTCCACCAAGTTCCCTGCTTCATCTTAAAATTCTAACCTATTCTGCTTGTCTTCATACAATGATCATAATTCTGAATAACCTTTGGAAATTAATCATTCGTAAACATACATTTATTTGAAATGTATCTGCCCTTTTTAATCAAGGTATCAGTAGAAGTGCTGCCTCCACCACTTGCAGCTTGGCAGCCTTAGGCAAATTAGTTACATCATGTGACCCTCAGTTTTACTATTTTGGGAGAGATATGAGAAATGGCATTGTCTTTCTCATAAATTTATGAGGATTAGATGGGTGCTTAACTGGATTCATAATGGGCATTTAGTAAATGTTAAGTCTCCTGCTTTCCCGTTAAGATGATCAGTTTTCCCCTGGTTGTCCTGTGAGAATTTTAATAACAAATCACATTAAACAGGCAATTGTTATATAAAAAACAACTCAGTTTAAAATAGAAGTCAGATGATAGAGCTGTAACTGATAAAAGTTTATTTTCATTTGCACTTATGAAACATAGTGAATGTGAAAATGCCATATAACCTGTGAAGTACCTTGTTTACTTATAAGGTGGAGAGAGGATCTATTTTAAAAGTCAACTTGCTATACCAGACCCACTCTCAACACAGGGTCCTAGTAGCCATTAAAATTTGTCACTTTGCTGTAATCTCAGAATGTTCAGCCAAGCCTACAGATTTTTTAAAATGTAGATAGTTTTCATTTCGGGTATTTAATTGTTCAAATTTGGCATTACTTTCAAGTCCACATTTTATGAGTCTCATAGGAGAGTCTTAGAGTTGAAAATACCCTTATATATCATTGTATCTAACTGCTGTATGTATTTGATGAGAAAGTTAATGATTTATTCAAAGTCATAAAACTGAAACTTCTGTCTTCCTAAAGTGGTCTGTTTCATTCATATTCTTAATATTTTGACTGTTAATAGTTTTAATTCTCCACCCCAAGGTGGGGTGATTAAAATAGCATGAACTCTGCAGGCATCCTGCAAGAGTCAGCTCTTAGCTCCACTGCTGACTTTCTGGGTATTCTTGAGCAACTTAAACTTTGGGCCTCACTGTTCTGATGTGATCATATCTACCTTAAGGGATTGTTGTAGAGTTTAAAAATAGTGTATAGCAATTATATCTAACTTGGTAACTAGAACATTGAGAGTTTTATTGAATGGTGGTACTGGCACTTTTTGATAGCTTTACAGTTATGATCAGAGTAAAAGATTATTAAAAATTAACATCTGGGCATGTATAGTTTCTATAATCTGTATTTATGTGCCAAATGATTATATACATTGCACGTTACTATTTTTTTTGTTTTTATTTTTTCAATAAATTTAAATTTTTAGTTTTTTTAAGAGATCTGTTTTAAGTATAGCATATTTATTTCATATAGTTTCAGTTCCTTTTTCTCCTATTTTCTTTTAAGTTCTCAATGGGAAAAGCTACAGAAAGATGACACAGATCCGGGACAACTAAAAGGTATTAAAATACTGAGAGTTATCAGAGATGTTAATTATTGATACCAAGGTTAATACAAAGACCAGTTAGTATTGCTATAAAAGAGTATTTACTTTATAAGCTGGAATCATTTTAATTAATGATTTTCCTTTAACTGAACTCCAGTTTTGTGTTTTCTTTTTTGGTTTCATTTTTTAGGCAACATTTCATTAGGTAGCCTATGTTGGCCTTGAATTTTAGATTTTCTTACTTTCCTAGTTTTCTGTTGTCTATGTGTTGGATTGTATCATATGAAAGTTAAAAGCAATTTATATTTTTTTCAATACTTTTTTATTAAAACAGATTAATTATATGACACATCAGTATGTATATATTTCATAAATTTTATGGACTGCAATCCAGTTATTTATTAATTCAGTTTAAGGTTGTACTTTGGTGGTTATGTTTTCAAAGCATTATGGTTTTGTTTGTTTTAAAGACACTTACTCGGCACACCCCAAATAGAACCAGTTTTACTTTTTTAAAAATTAGTGAATATTTAAAAAAAACTTTTTTTTAATGTCAGTGACTGATATTTGGGAATGATATGAAACAAGGTGGCACTGAGATTCTGTTTTGGCTTCTGAAATCTGCAGATGATTTTCCGTGATTTCCAGGTATATAAGGGAAGAAGAAAAATGACTAAAGTTTTAAAAAAATTACACTAATTGATCTGTACTACTTTCTGCATGGCCTTGAATACATCTCAGTTTCTTCATTTGTAAATGGGAAGAATATGTAGCTTTAAGTTACTGTGAAGATTTAAATAAAGCATCTTAAGTAAAGCATCTTGCACAGTGTCTTGACGCATAGTTCATAATCTGTAAATATCAGCTTCCTTCTCTTCCCTTACAAATCATTAGTGTTTGACTGATTGTCTTATTTATTCATTTGTTAATTATTTGTAGGTATATGACAATATAGAGATAACAGTATAGAGAATGAACAAACTGTCATTCAGTATAGGATATAAAGATGTAATGAACTGTCATAAGATATAATATTGTATGAAATATACATGAAATGCACAGAATAGGAATTTATAGTAGAAGTAGTTTTCTATTTTTGGCATGTAGGGAAGCAAAAGAGAAGATTTAATAGAGAATACAGACTTTAATGGAAGAATGAGTAGAATTTAGACTAGAATGGGAGGAGCCAAGCAAAAATAACAAAGCAAACAAAGCATGTTAGCAATAATGTTCAACATTACCATTACTGTCATCATTATCACCATGGTGGCACTTCAAGCTGAAAGAATAGATCCTTTTGAATAAACATCATATGGCAGTCAAAAGGTAAGTGAGAAGAGATGTTTAAAGCCTAATGTAGCCAAATAAAACCTTCACAAAAATACTTTGTTGTGCAGGTCTCTCAGCGTACACTCATGTGGAACTTCCATATTACTCTAAGTTTATTCTAATTGCTGCATACCTTGCTTCATACAATCCAGCAAGAACTGACAAGAGGTTCTTCCTTAAGGTAATAGTAGCATACTTCTTTTTATTTTATTTTTGAAGATCTTAGGAATACAGTTGGCTTCTGTATATAATAAGTCCCAGTTTACAAATAAGTTCTGTTCCAGGAGAACGTACATAAGTCGTATTCGTTTGTAATCTGACAAAGTGAGTCTTATACAGTATAACTGTGAATCTTTTACAGTATACCTGTGAAAGTTATACTCAAATGTTTGTAATCAGGGGAATTACTGTACATAGATTCCACATCTCTAGGTTCATCCACCTGAAGATCTAAAAAAGAATTGCATCTGTATTGAAACAAACTGTTTTCTTGTCATTTCCTTAACAGTGTAATATACCAAATATTTTATTGGATTCGCATTGTATTAATTATTGTAAGTAATACAGAGATCTTTTAAAGTATGCAGTAGATGTGTAACTAGTACATTATTTTCTATAAAGGACCTAAGGGTCCTTGGATTTTGTATCTGTAGGGGTTTTGTGTGAGAAATGACACAGTATTTTGAAATTTCTCAATACCTATAAATTTCCAAAGGGCAGAGTAGAATAATAAAGTACCTGTGTATTTGGGACTCATTTGCTAACAGCTTTAAATTAAGATCATGAAGTGAAATTTGGGAGAAGGTTACTAGTTTTATGGAATAGAAGAAATCAGTTATAAGTTGAAGTATAAAGCCTTTTCATTTCCTCAGGACATTCTGATCTCTTAAGGTCTTTGCACGTGTTCCATCATTCTGGAAAGCTGCTCTTCACCTTTCAAGTTTCAGTTTAAATGTTGCCCTCTCAGAATGTTCCTTCCTGTTCAACCTGTCAAGTAGATTTTCTTTGTTGTTTGCTATTTCATATGATGTTTTGCTTTCTTCATTAGACTTACAACATTTTATAATAAATTTCTTTTTCTTGGTCATTTGTTTCCCTGCTCTTTAGTCTCTTGATGACCAGGACAAACGCACCACCACCACATACACACACACACACACACACACACACACACACACTCTCACACACCATTGAATCCTGAACATCTAACTAATAAGTGCTCTTGGTCAGTATCTAGTTTGTGAATTACCGTCCTTTTTAAAGAGATGAATAAAGAATTGTTTAACTTTGGAAGTTCTACTTTTATAGAACTGTTTTAAACATGCAGTTCTAAATCAATACAGTAAATTCTTTTACTTCTTTTATTTCAAAATCTTTTTGTTACATACAAAAGTAATCATCTGATCCAAATCTAAGTCAAATCAGCCTAAAACATTGAAGTTTCATATATACAAGGTGATAAGTAGAATAAAGTCTAAGTGTTATGTGCCATGCTTTAAACAAGCTTTGTTTTTTAGTTAAGAATTATTTTTCTTAATTGCAGCATCATGGGAAAATCAAGAAAACCAACTTTCTAAAGAAACATGAAAAGGTATTTGCATTTTAAATTCTGTATAATGGTAGAAATTTGTGAATTCAAGATAACAGGGAATGGATGTATATTAGTCTTTTGCAAGTGAGAACTTATTTGTGTTGATGTGGTACCATTTAATGTTTTTAATAGTATTTTGTTTTGTTGAGTACAGTAATTGAAGGCATGTTCAAGTGAGCTGGTGCTGGAAATAAAATTGAGTTGACAGTCTTTTTAGTAACTTAGTTGATGAAAAAAAATCACCCTGAATTGTGAAAACACAGCTGATTGAATATGGATATATTCCTCTTTTGCACTTCGAAGCACCCACAAAAATAACATTTAAGAAATAAAAGGGAGGGAAACTCTTAAGGCTTAAGCAGATGAGGGAGCCTCCAGATTTGGAATCAAGTAGTAGATAGAGATGAGAGAAGTCTAACACAGAAGCCCCAAACCAAGCTGATTTTGCCTGAAGAATCTGGAAAAATAAGGAATTAAAGGCCCTAAATACTTTTGAAAGTAGGAGCATGAGGCAAAGTTAAAATTGATGAAAGAGCATTTACATGTTCTGGTCACTTACTCTACTGGTACATCCAAACCACTGTTGCCTGTCTTGGTAAAAGATGGAGAAATTTGAACAGTAGGGTTTATACCATAGAAGCTGTGCATTATTTTTTACTCTCATTCCTAAAAGCAGTTTGATGAAAAGATATCTCCAAAATTATGCCATTTAGGTGGAAAATCATGCAAACCGTGTGTTTGTAAATCCATATGCATTAGTAGTACCATAAAAACTGTCAGAATGATAAATAAAAACATTAGATTTTTAGATAGTTATTCCTTTTAGGGGAGAAAGAGGAAATGGGACAGGAAAGGGTTCAGAGGGGCTTCAAATTATCTGTAACGTGATAAAATTTCTTTGCATATCTCCTGTGATTTTAAGATTTGATAAAATTGGATGGTTAGTACATTAGTATTTATTAACGTCTCGGTACTTTTCTCTAAATGGTTGATTTAGTGAGAAAAATTTAAGACCTGGAAAATATTTATAAACTTTTAGATATAAATAGCTGAAGTAAATACTGAAGTTTTAATTCTGAGCAGTCATTCTTCTTTATTTATTTGTTTTTATTTTATTTATTCTGGGTGGGGTCCCAGAGATCGAACTCAGGACCTTGCACTTGCAAGGCAGATGCAGCGCCACTGAGCTAAATCCACAGCCCCTGTCATTCTTCTTTAAATGGAAGTTTTCTTTTGAATAAATGCTCCCACATATAATTTCCACTTTATTTGAATATAATTTCCCACTTTATTTGCTATTGTTAATATGAAGTACTTAAATTCTTACATTGCTAGTAAAATGATTTGCTAATAGAATGGAACTTGAGCACTGCAATTTTCTAAATGACTTGTAATTGTACTGACTGTTAATTTTTAAAACTAAGTATTTACTATAATTAATCTTTTTAGAGCTATTAATGTTGAGCAAGTACATTTTCCAGGAAATGGTCCAAAGAAGAGTGGTGGGAAGTAAACAGTAAATTCTAGTTAGGAATTAAGAACCTGGTTTTGGATATACATTATCTTGACAAATCAACATGGCTAAGTCACTTAACATCCTGGTTACAACAGAAAAATGGCAATGTTCAGGACTGTGGATGATTATTTCTTTGATATTTGTTGATACTAAAATCTTGAGGCATATGATAAAAGACATTGTGGTCATATCAGATGAAGTTCTAATTTAAGAACTACAGGTTAATTTGTTAGCAACTCAGAAACAAATATAAATATATTGCTATTGGGGAATTTATAAGGAGAAAATCCATTTTCTTTTATAATTTTTTTGTTTTTAACAGACAAGCAATCATCTCCTTGGACCAAAACCATTTCCATTAGACCGATTATTAGCAATATTATATAGTATAGTGGACAGCAGAGTGGCTCCAACAGCAAATATCTTCTCCCAGGTGAGCTTAATCGTAGATTGGTCGTGTCACCTTTTAGCCTTCTTCAGGTGGTACAGTTGTTACAGTTGGAAGGTGTTTTAATGAATAGTGTTCTTGGTAAGTATAGTTGACTTTCTGTTATTTGTTCTGAATCTATAAATTCAGCCAACCACAGTTGGAAATATTCTGAAGATTAAAATTGCTTCTGTACTACGCAGGTACAGACTTTGTCGTTATTCCCTAAACCAGTGATGGTGAACCTTTTACAACATTTAATGATAACAGACAGCCAGCTGTGGCACTCCTGCCATCACCACCACTGCCCTAAACAGTACAGTATAACATATATTTCCAGGGGTTTATAGCATTTACATTGTAGTAGGTATTACTGTATAAGTAATCTACAAATTACTTCAAGTATAGGAAAGGATGTGTGCAGGTTATTTGTAAGTACCATACTTTTATAAAGAGTCAAGCATCCTCTGATTTTGATATTCCTAGGACCGATCCTTGAGGTCAGCAAGTGATAACTTTAATTGAATATTCTAAATGTATAATCTTTGGGGGGGTAATCACCAAAGTTGCATATTTTACAAGTATAACCTGATGACAAAAACAATGTTTCTGGCTCTTTTTCTTTCTTCACTGTTCAGTCTTATTATCTACTGCTTACATAAACAAGTGGCTTGATAATTAAATTGATGTTGTGTAAATATAATTCAATGAAAACAAATTTAAAATTTTTATTTATAAAATGGTAGTCTACAGTGTCCTTTTTCTTGAAGTACTTTGTGGGTTTATGTGCTTAATTTCACAGGATTTCACTAGGTGGCAGCAAAAGCATAAAAATAGAAAATAGAACCTTTTTTAAAAAAAAGTAAAGACTCTGTTATGAGTATTTTGTTTTATGTATGTAATTTTTGGTTGAGAAATAGGTAAAAAAAAATTGGCGTTTTAGCTAATTCAGTATGAATAATTTGGTCCTAGGATCGTTATCAAACTTTGTAATCTATTATGTGATGGTAGCTTTTAATTCTTCATTTAAAGAAGACTTGAAGTAACAAAAATAGATAATTTTTCTATAAGTTAGCATTTATAGAAAATTTCATCTACATTTATTGTGTTCTTGAAAAAAATGATCCAGTCAGTTGTTTTGCTACGTAAGTAGCTACGTAGATCTAAGTTAGAGCTCTAATGTTGATAATTTTAAAAATTTAATTCAAGTTTAACCTGTTAAATGAGTTTTCTCTCATATTAAAAAAAATATTTTGTCTAAAACTAGTTGTTAGTCAAACTTAATATTTTGAGCTTCCTATAATAATAGAAAAGGTTTCTGTTTTGTTCTGTTAACAGTAACTCTGAAATAGCAAATATTATAATCTTATTGTAAGCATTTGATCTTCACAGTAGGTCAGAGACCTACTTCTGACTTTCACAAGTATTTCATGACTTTCACAAGTAAGTATTTGAGAATTAAAGCCTAGGCAAGTGAGAGGGAATGCTTCTGAACAGAGCAGGAAGAGTATCACATGGGATTCTCTTTCTCATGTGCACAGAACTTACCTTTGTGGGATACCCAAAACATAGCATATTTTTCGTTTAAGGAGCTTACAGTTTATTCTAGGAAGAAAAAATGTTCGTAGAAATATTGTTACAAGGCTGTAGATGAATGGTAGATGCCACTGCTGAGACCCGTAGAGCAGAAAGAGACCACTTCTGGACCAGGCAGGATGAAAGAAAGACTTCATAGTCAAGTGAGAACTGGGGCTTGGCTGTTGAAATGAGTGACATTTTTTGTTGTTTCATAAATATTTCTAGTTTATACAAGTGATACATATTTATTGTATGGAAATGAAAATGAGTAAATAAAAAGGAAAAATAATATAGTAAAACCAGCTGACATCATATTTCCCTTGAATAAGAGTTTAGTTAGATTAGAGATTTAGGAAGAGAGGAAAGGAGACCAAAGGTATGGGACTAAGAAAAACAAGACACGTTTGGGAATTGTCACACTGGTTTGGTTGATGAGATTATGGGTTGTGTTATAGTGCTAGTGATCCTTTGTAGTTATGCCTGCAGTAATAGTGCTAATATTAATAGTCATAGTAATAACTACTGCCACCATACATCACATGTTGGTACCTTGTATCTGCTCCTTAGGTTGATAGAAGATTTGCTTTTTTAGAAATAAACTCTTAAGCAGTTTTATCCTTTGGAAGAAAAAAAAACAATTACAAACAATGGGTGGATTCTGATGTAGAAATTTATAGCTTCTCTAGGGTTTTGACTATGAACAGTGTCACCAGTCTTTATGGCTTTAGCAATCCCAGTAATATAACTAAGAACCACTTTGGCCCAAAATGTGTCTTTATTAATGATGTTAAATTCCTTTAAGTCTTGGCATCTGAAATTGATATTTTCATTCGTTATCTCTTCTCATTAACACTTAGTAATCAGAGCACTGCTATCAATGAATTTGCTTATGTATTTTTAATCATGTTAGGCACTTGGTAGTTCTGATTTGAGATACAAAGGGTGGGAAAATATATAGTGACAAGTACAACTAGCCATAAAGATTTGGCTGTTAACTTTTGCTTGGTCAATAAAGTATCCAAGAAAATCAAATTTATACTGTGTTCAAGAACAAAATGTTGCAGAAATCATCCGAAAAGAGGATACTTCTCTCACATGCTTTACCTTTTCCTTTCCACTGATTCCCAGTGACCTTTATTTTTATTCTTTTGCCTTTCATTCACCTGTCAATTAATTTTTAAAGTGACCGATAAAAATACATTTCTATTGGAAGTGCTTATTTGATATGAACAGCAGATGGCAATATTGTTACGTTCTAGCTTTAAGAACTAGGAAAGCAGCTTAACTTGTTAATGTTGATATTTAGAGAAAAATTTAATTTGATACATTGGTTTATTTAAGTGAAGGCAAAGTTACCTGAATATATTTAATAATGTAGGTATTTACTTTCATGAAAATATAAATAAGATTGGTAAGGAATTGTATTGCATGTATATTTTTTACCAGGAAGTAATTTTGTTAATTGGTTGGGATGTATCGGTATAAGAAATGTATTATTTTCTTGTTTCTTTAATCTACACACAACTATTTGAAGGATTCATAATTACTTAAAATTTTTTCACATGTAATAAGTTGGTCATATATGATATATACATTCAAAATTACCTGGAAAGAAAAGTGTACTTCTGTTACATTTCATTTAAATCTGTTCTGTAATGAACAGATTTAATTATAAAAATAATTTAAGGAAGATTTAAACTTATTAAAACTCTAATAGAGAATAATCATCAGATTCATGATAGTGATATTTTGGTTGGTATTCTTCCAAATTTCTCTGTTCTTTGTTGAATGTTACATAAACTTTCATTCATTAGTGCTTTAGTCTTATAAATATGTAGTGATAGCATGTCTAACATTTTAAGTTCAGTTAATGATCAGATTTATTGAACATGATTAAAATATGATTTAAAAATTTTTAAGACTAAGATCATTTCCTTGTTACACAATTTTTGTCTTTAATTTTGCAATCATATTCATGGATGATTTAAAAACATTTACTCAGAATAAATGTAGCTCTTCAATATGTGCACTAATGAGTGACAGAATTACTAATTCTGATGGGTTTTTTCTCCTTTGTCTTTTTATAATGGATAGAATGGACAGGTATAAAGTTTACAGTTATTACCCTCAGATTTTTGGTTTGATCAGATAAGATTTTAGAGACCATCCTTAAAAGACATAACCCTAAATTACTTTTTTTTCCAGAAGTATATTGAACCAGTTATGCTTTTTGGTTTTTCTTCCCTTGAGGAAAAATGACAACTTGTTCGGAAATTTTTGAATGTTTTGTTTTGTTTTGTTCTTCATATAGTTTTGCATCTTTTCTTACTTATCCTTGTGTTAATCTTATAGTTACATGAAGACGACAGGAATAGAAGGACTGTCAAACCTAACAGTTATTTGAAAATACAGTATTGAACTACATCACTTTATTTTTTTATAAGGATAAAATTGCTGGAGAATGTATTTCTAAAATCCTTGGTATAGGTTTTGACACTTTTTAAAGGAAAAATGTTTTTAAAAGGGGTGTTTAATTATACATCTTTTTAATGTCATATAATTATTAATCTTATTTTACCAATTGACATTTTGAAAAATAAGTTTTCAAGATAATTTACTGTAATTCTGCCATTTTAAAGGTTTAAATAAGTTATTTTATTATAAAATATATTCAAATTAATATGAAGAAAACAGCTGAAAGGTAAAAAAGGAGCATAGTTCTGTTAAAAAGTAGTTTTATTTCCCATGCTTATAAATTGAATGTTTTTGTAATAGGTAATTTCTAAGGTTTTTGTATATGGTTGACTTACTAAGAAAAAATTTAAATTGACTTGTAAATTTATTTTTATTCATGTGAGCATGAATAAAAAGCCTTTGGGATCACAGACTAATATAAAAATATGTGTTTTTTTGAAATATATGTATTAATTTCTGCTTTCTATGCTTTTGGACTCATGCATACTACATATCAGGATATGATATATTTGGACTTGTTTGTTGCATGAGTTGAATTTTTCATCATGAGTCAGTCAATTCACAAAGGTTGCAACTAAGCTTTCTACTCATTTAGATTTTATGAGCTAAATAGGATATATTTCAAGTATTTTATTTTTTTCTAAATGAATTTATCATTAATCAGAAAGCAGAGTGATAATTTAGTTATTTTATCTATGACATTTTCTTGAAGCAAATGCTTCATCTCTAATTCACCATGGCTGTAGAAAGATGTTTCACTGTACTTGTTGGAGTAGCTAACATTTTGTTCAGCTGAAGCTAGATTGGTAGCATTGTTCTTCAAATACAGATAGAGATGTGGTATTTGTTGTTTTGAGTTTTTTAAAGTAAAGATTTTGTTAATGTTTATTTAATTGTAATACATTAAAAATAAAAATAACTTTAATTCAAGCTTCAAATTCAAAGTCATTATCTTTTTTTCTCAGTTGAAATTTATTATTTTCTCTGCTTAAAATTTTATTTAACAATTTTTTTTTTTTTTTTCTTTTTGCTATCTACTAGATTTCCGTACATTTCAGGTACTGTGTTAGAAAAAGGATACAGAAGGGAAGAAAATAGTCTGGCTTTCACACCCTTTCCCTTGTGCTGGTGCAGGTACCAGATTGTAGCTTGTGTTAAGTTAATGGTGAGTGTGTGTATTTACTCAGGACAGGTATATGCAGAATAAGTAATACTTAAACACTTAAAGTGAATCATAACTGCTTACTATTTAAATACAGTAATTAAAAAATAAAATATTTGGTGGTTTGTTTTGGGGTGTTTTTTTTGCTTTAGTAGGACTTGGTCCTTGATATTAGATATTTGTTGTCTGCCTAATGATAGCAAATTTGCTATGTAGACCGTTGCCTTGTGATATGCCTTGAATTTAGTATTTGGAGCAATGATGTGTGATACCTGTGTCATAACTAAGTTTTGTTAACACCTAATTAAATAGTAACACTTGGAACTTAAGTGATGGGCAGATTAGCAGTGTACTGTATGTGGCTGTAACAAGCTGTCTGAATGACTTTCTTTAAAAAGCTATGTTGCTATATTTCAAATACTTCATAATTATATTCATTGTTATTTTTCTTGTATATTCAGTATTTTAGACTATGCTTTCAGATTTTTAACCCAAAACACTTTAAGCAAATAACCTTTTTACTTAAGTTAATTTGCATGTTGCATAACATTATGGTTCTAGCATTTTTACAAAAAGTAATTACATTTGTTAAATGCTAGTCACATAATATTAGAAATCATAGTTAATAGAATACTAATACATACTGATTAGAAAGGCTTTGATCCATATAAAATGTAACATCCTGAAAACTAGCTATAAGATATTCATATAAAGTAATTTGAGTCGGAATATTATCTCTATATACATTAAATTTGGTGGCTAAAAGGGACAATTTTTCTTTTTAAAAAAACCCGCAGTATTGGAGTATTAGAAATGTGAAGAGCTATTCCTTTGTAATTTCTCTGTCCTTCCTTTGTCTTGTACCAGCATTCCAGTGTCTCAGTAATACTCAGCTGAAATACTTGATGCTATTAAGGTAAATTATGTAAATGACAGAAAAATATCTCAAATGCTAACATTTTCTAATAGTCTTACTATGTTTTTCTTTAACCACAACTGAGATTGGGAGGCATTCCATTCCAAGGATGGTAAAGGAGCCTTACTTAGTGCCTCCTTTGCTGATGAATAGGTCAGCAGGGATGCTGTTTGAAAGAGGCCTGCTCTTCCCTAGCAACTAAGAGCACCACCTCCATGATGCTCAGCCTCCACTGGCGCAGTAAATGAGATTCTCAGATCTCCTGCTACTCCCGGTGTGGATGTATTACTGCTCTGCCATGACACCACTCTGCTGAAGGTGTCTATTTCAGGAGATTTTTAAAAAACTGGTTTGGGATGCCTCATGATTGAAAAGAATAAAGTTGATCTATGATTTTCACTAGCTGCACTAGTGTAAGGAATACTAATATTACTCATTACCAAGGATAATAAAAAGCACAATATATTTCACTCTACTGCCCCAGGGTAAAAGGTTTTTCTTGTTCTCATTTGTAAAAGAACAGTATTTTCCCCTGCTCTTCTCTTGTCTTCCCTAAATCAGGTGTTAAATTTCTCCAGTGTAACCACTTTGCCTTTGTGAATATATCAGTCCAGCAGTAGGCATTTTTACAGAACCCTGGAAAAATGGAACCATTGCTTAAGGGTGACATGTATAATACTGCCTAAGGGATAAGAAAGTTGTATAAATTATGCTCTCCACTTTCGTATAAAATAATACACTGGTACCTTATTTTTATAGGCAATATTTTATAACTACCTTTCTGAAAACCTAGTATTGCATCCAATAAATATGCCAAAGTTATATCCATTACTCACATTTTTTTTTGAAAATGTATTCAACACCAATAAATTGTGTTTGACTTAGCATTATTTTGGCTGAAACATGCAAAAAATGTTTGTATGTATATATTCTCGCAAATGTGTATGTAAGAGACTCAGCACTATTAACATAGTGACTGTATAGGTAAATCCATACATTAGGTAGAGCTTTATGACTAGTTTTAATTAGAAAAGAAGTTTTAATAACAAGTTAGGAGATAAATGATTTGGAAAATCCCATTATGGAAATGGTGTTCTACATTTAAAAATACTTTGTAAGAAGATGGTGATACAAAATGGTGGTGCTTAAGGGAGTTTCCAGTGGCAGCTCAGTAGCACACAGTGAATTGGAGTTCCTTGGCATGCTGGCACATGTGCCCCTTTGTAGTCATACTGCACTACCCATTTGTGCACATGCTGCTACAGAAAACTCCTTGTCCTTTTCCCTAATGAAAACTTATGGTTCCTAAGCCCGAGTCACCTTTAGGTTAGAAGGTAATTGTTCCCTTACTTTCAGGCACTCTGGTGGTTTAATTCTAAAAATAGAAAGTAATCTTGCCCTATAATCCAGAATAAGAAAGGAAACTAGATTTATCCGGAACTGTTTCATGTACTCCCTGGTGTCAAATGCTATGTATTTGGTGATGGGAAGTCTGTGTTTCTGTCTTTTATCTTATAGCTCTCCGCCAAAATTGCTGCCTAAACTCAAATTGTACCTGAGTGTTCCATATGTATTACACAGATGTGATGAACCACATCATTCCCTAAACATTCTCTGTGGAGTTTTAGCCTTACATTTTAAAACTAATCATTTATTCACCCATTCTTTACTAAGCATATACTATGTGGCATAACTATTGTTAAGTGCTAGGAAAACAATTTATAATTTCCAGTTTAGCTAAAAGGAGAAATTCTCTTAAGCTGTCCACTTAGTTGATCAACAAGACAGTCTGTTTTTCCTCGTAGATGGAAATGTTGGTTGAACATATTCTTTTTTTTCCACCGCTACTGCCCTTGCCTTAAATCTACACCTTCATTGTGTCTTTGACTACTGCATCGACTTCCTATCTGGTATGACTGTCATGAGACATTGTCTAGCTAGCTGATTTTCCACACAGGCATCAGCATAAACCTTAAAAAATAAATCTAGCCTTATTTTTCTGCTTATACTTTATAGTTGCATTATCTATAAAACCAGACCTGCATTCCCTGGCCTTTCTTATAAGGCCCTTCTAAGTCTGTGCCACTTTCTGCCGCTTCCTTAATTCATCCTGTACCTTATTCCCCATGAGCTCCCCACTCATCTCTGAAAACACACTGGTTTTTCTTATTTTGCGCTGTTGCATGCAAAGTGTTGCACTCCAGCTCTTTTGTGCTTCATGGTCCATCCGCCAAATGCTATTTCTTAGTGAATCCACACTTCGCCACCTGTGCTATTAGTTTATCCCTCCTCTGTAATCACATAATTGTGTTTATTCATATCATACACATGCGTAGCATTCCTATCGTGTCATTACCATTTTATTGTATATTTATCTCCCACTACATGAATTCATTGAGGGTGTAGACCTTGTCTTTTTATTTTTGTGTCTCATGCACAGTGCCATAAACATAAGATCTACTCACCAAATGAATGACCTTCCATCCTCCTAATGCACACTTCGGCTCTTCTCCCTGCTAAAGATTTCAGTTATTTGTGTGCTAAAATGTTCCTGAGTTGAAAGGCACTGCCTTTAGCTCTTCTATGTATAAAAATGCATGCTGCTTTTTGTTTATATCAACATATTTAAAGACTAACAATCTACTTTCCTTTTTGCATTGCTTTGACAATATTTGCCCGTCTTTTCCATGTGCTACACTCACCTCTTCTACATTGTGTGTGTCAAAATGGCAGTCATCACATCATCCAGTGTCAGATTAAATGTAATGCTTGCTGAGTTGTGTGGAATTCATACAGTGACATTTCACATATTAAGTTCATTTATTTAAATAATTTAATATGCTTTGGATCATAAAGCTTCTCCAGGACAAGCACAATAGGATATTTCATAAATCAGTTGACATATGTACCAACCTATGAAAGTATAAAAATAATGAGCATGTTAAAAATTAATTACACTTGTAAATTGATTTCCTTTTGTTGGCAGAAAGAACAGTTTATTAGCCCAGGAACAGGTTCACACTGTTTTTACATCAAGCATTTCCAGCTGAAGCTTGTTAGTGACTGCCTCTCAGATTAAGGGAAAAAACATTCTCACTGTGGTACACCAACTCCTATTGTTAAGACATAAATAATCAGCTCATCCCCTACGTGAATGAGAACAAAGAACATCATAATACACAGAGCAAAGATTAAGCAAATATTGCACAACCCAATTTAAGATATAAGTCTAAAAATATTGTATCTATAAGGAGATTATCATTTTTATTTTTCTTTGTGAATGTCTCAGTTGTAACATAGGAACTAGTCAGAGGAAAAATATATAGTTTGGTGTTTGAATCAGATTATTTTAAACTAAGAAGGAGTAAAAGTACTTTATAAACAGCCTCAAAATGCAACTAACTTGAAAGCTAGTAAAGTACTATTTTTGAGAGCAAGATTCTTGCTTCAGATTTTGGGGGATTCTATTTATTTCCAAAGACTGAAAACAAAATTTTTATTTTGAGAAAAAAACATCAGTGGAAACATGACCAAAACCCTAGTGGTAAAACCACTGTCTTTTACTACTGTTTTTTTTAAATACAGAAATTAAAAACTTTGTTCTATATTTTCTTGCATCAAATCTAAATCCTGCTTTGAAAAAGGAAATCCACTTCCTAACTTACTTTTTTTTTTGGTACTGGGGATTAAACTCAGGATCTTGCACATGCAAGACAGGCGTGGTGCCACTGAGCTAAATCCCCGACCCTCCCTAGCTTACTTTTTAATTCATTTGAATTTCATTCATTCAATTTTGAGCTTAACAAAGTAGATAAGAAAAGCAACTGTGGAAAACAGTACGTACTCCTCTAAAATCTGAACATTATTTGCAAAAGAATATGTCTTTATAGGTGGTAGAAACCCAGAAAAGGAACAACAATTTGCCCACAAATTTTAAATTTATTTAAATAACTAAATTGACTTTTCTTGAAAATTACCAGTTTTTCAGGAAGACTTTTTCATTATCTTTGTTTTTCAAAGATTTTAATGTTTATCCTAACTTTCAGTATGATGATCTATAATACATACATGTGTAAGAAACTGCCTTGGATACCATTTTCAGTGTTGTCCAATAATTTCAGGTTTTAAAAAAAATCATGCTTTCTCTTCCATCTTAAATTATTTATATATTTAAAATTATGCCTTGAAAACAGTAAGTTTATTTGTAATATAATATGCAGCCTGATTTCTAGAAAGGTTGTATGTGATTAGGTTAAATAAATTCTACATTTTATCCTTCACATCTAATAACTTTGCTCACAAGATTATTGTTATTCTCAAGGCTGTTCTCTATTCCTGGAACAGGACATTTGCCTATTCTGAAATGGTTCTTTGTCCTCATTGCTCAGTTTTGTTGGAGGTTTTTCCTTTGTTATATCCTGGATTTCTAATCCCTATTCAAGTACCCTCTTTCATTCAGTTTGGAATATTTCCAGAATTGTCATTTTACTAACTTTTCCTTCTTCCATCAAGCTATCCTCAATTTATCCCAATGAAGTTATCTTTTCCTATATTCTGCAGCTTCTTGTTGGGATAATATAAAGATACGGGGTTTTTTATTCACATAGTATTCAAATTCAACGCTCTTTTTACCACTCTTAGTTTGGTGACCTTGAACAATTTATGACCTCTCTGATTTTTTTTTATATATATATAAAAAAATCAGGTTCATGTACAGTATCTAATTATGGAGAAATTGTAAAGACTGAAGAAATTAAAGTCCCTGTTACAGTGCCTGTTGTGTAGACCCTAGACACAGTAACAAATTTCTATTCTACCACTAATTCCACCAATTCCACCCCTAATTTTCTGTGATCACTAATATTATTAATTGGTTCCTATGCCCCCTCCCAGTTTTGTACTGACAGCTCCTGAGAAGAGTAAACATCTTTTTTTATTAGTGCATATTAATACGGAATAGTGAGGTTCATTCTGGAAAATTGGTACATACATATAACAAT